CAAGGAACACAAAGAAGACATAATGGTGAGGAAAAACTGACGTCTCATTAAAATAGTAATAATAACAAAATAAATAGATATGGTTGTGTAAAACAATATAAAAAACAATATTGTATATAATTCCAGACATGTAAACATAAATCTTAAGGATTAGTAACTCATTTCCAGAGTTGCCAGTTTTTTCCCCATTCCTGTGAGAGGACGCACTAGAACTACTTTCAACTTTTTTTTTTTTCAGATAAAACTCATGTACCCTGACTGGGTCGCGTGGCTTTACACTAATCCTCGTGGCCGGGAAAATGTCCTCTGCCCACTCCTGCGTGATTTTCCTCACTTCTACATCTGTGACGTTACCAACTTGCCTTCGCTGGGAAATGTGACTTCAATACACAACATGATTTGGAGAACGCTGCCCCTTGGTGACGAAAAGGTCTCGGCTTTTTTTGTCCGAGACTCCGACTCGCTTGTAAGTTCGAAACCGGTTCGTGTTTGCAAACATAGGCCTGTTTCTTTTAGTAGTATTAATAGCGTGTTGTTTTCCCCTTTATAGGAATATTCAGTGTTTGAGTATTACCAGATATATGTTTGTTTGTTTTTTATTAACTTCCTTTGCATTTTACAATATCCGTTTCTCTTTTTTTTTCTTCGTCTCTTTTAGTATCAACAAAGTTATTTTAAATTATTTTCCTTTTCAAGCAACCTTTTAGCAGTGTGTGTGTTGCCATTTGCATGTTGTTTTCAGCAATATTTACTTAGTGTTTGTAAGCATTTCCACGTATGTAATTTCCAACGTTCTTTGCCAAAGCTCCTGGAACGAGGGGCTGCAGCAGTGAGGGAATGGATGTCGGGAAACAAAAGCTTCCACTTGCTGAGAGACCATCCGTACCATGGAATTCCTGTAATGGGGGGGCTGTGGGGCGCCCGCTGGGACCTCAAGAAGCATAACGTTTCCGAATTCAGGAATAAGCTGACTGGTATCAGAAGCACATTGATAGAAAAAGCCAAAGGGAAGTTTAACAAGGGTTTTGATCAACATGTCTTAGGGGTAAGCTTCTGCATACACACGCATATGCACACGCACACACACACACACACATCTATATATATGTATGTATGTATGTGTATATATATATGTATGTATATATATATATATATATATATATATATATATATATATATATATATATATATATATACACATATGCATATATACGTATAATAGTGTACATATACATCTATCCATCTACATATCTGTCAATCTGATTTTGGACGTACGTATCTGTCTGTCTATACGCATATATATATATCTTTATCTATATCTATATATCCAGGGCCGGATTATCCTATAGACTGGTATAGGCTGCAGCCTAGGGCCCTTCAAGCTTGGGGACCCCAAGTTTGAGGGTCTTGGTTATATTTTTTTCACTACGCTTGTGATGAAATATAATAATGTGGTATTTAAAGAATATTTTTATTGCTAGTTTATTTAAAGAATTTGCAATAAGTTTACTTTAAGCTATGTAAATGTCGCTAAAATATATCACGAGTAAAAAATATCCTGAGGGGGCCCCATAATTTCATTAGCCTAAGGGGCCCCAAAAGGTCATGATCCGGCCCTGTATATATCCTGTATATACATACATATATATATATATATATATATATATATATATATATATACACACACACACACACACACACACACACACACACACACACACACACACACACACACACACACATATATATATATATATATATATATATATGTATATGTAAGTAAACATACACACACACATATATGTATATGTATATATTATCATTAGCCAATAGTCACACGCAGGGCCTGCAATACACACTGCAGGCCCTGCGTGTGTGTATTTTTATATATACATATATGTCTGTGTATATATACACATATATGTATATACGCATATAAATGTATGTATGCATATATATGTGTGTATATATATATATATATATATATATATATATATATATATATATATATGTGTGTGTGTGTGTGTGTGTGTGTGTGTGTGTGTGTGTGTGTGTGTGTATTATATAGACACTTATATGCACACACACAGATACATATGAACACACACACACACACACATATGTATATATCGACGAGACTTTTCTCTTGCTCTTTACTCCTGTGCCCCCCCCCCCCCCTCTGCCCAAGAAGTTTCTATTTCTGCCCCAGTAGCTCTTCCTCTTACTCCTCACCATTCCTCTTCTAACCCTTCCCTCTTCCAGTCCATTTCTCAGAATTCCTTAACCAGCTCCCTTTTAGAAACGCTCAGAGACATTTAAAACTTTTCCAATCATGTTTCTTCTTCATCCAGCCTCCGATGTCTCTCCTTCCCTCCACACTCCAAGCAATAGCCAACATTCATCCTCTTCATTCTCGTGTTCCCCGTTCCTCCTACTCCCTTCCAACACACCCCATTATCCCTTCCACTACGCCCCCCCCCCTCCTGGATATACGTGACTC